AGATTTAAAGTGATGGCTCCAAAATGCACGTATCACTCTCCTAAAAGCTGAGGGCTCTCTCCCTTGAGGAGTTACCTCGGGCAGTGCCCCAACCCGAGGGGGAGTCCCCGACTGCAGACCCGCTGCTCCGAGGAGGACAGATTCCAACGTGTCCTCCGGTGGGACCCCATTTATACCCCTGTCGAATCTGACCTGTGGTCATTTAATTCTATTGGCTAGGAGGGTCACCTCAGTGTACCTGGTGCATCTCATTTGGCCAGTTCAAATTTCAACCTGCAGCCTCCAGGGTCTCCTTCCCCTTCTCCCTGCCTGGGGAAGTTTCGTTTCCTGCCGGCTGGATGGGGGGGCGCGGGGGGCAGTGTACTGCCACAGGTGTGAATGCACTCCTGCTGTAACACTGCAAACTCTCTTCTAGTGTCAGTGCAAAACCACTGTTAAGTTCCTCACAAGTGACCTTCTCCAAGACAGAGGTTTTCTCTGTGTCATCCTGAATCTGAGACACAAACCTTTCCCCATTCAGTTTGTTAGCTTTTGAATTAGTTTAAAAAACGAAGGAAAAGAAGCTGGCTTGGGTTTGTGTGGCGGGGGTTTTGGTAGCAGGGGAGGGGGCCGCAGGACCGGCTCCTGTGCGAAGCTGTTGGAAGCTTCCCCCGCTCCAAGCCGGACCCGCCTCTGGCCCAGACCAAGCCCCTCACTGATGGTGGTAGTGCTTCTGGGAGAACGGACTTAAGAAGGGGAACCGGTACTGAATAGGGGATTGGAATGGGAGAGGAACCCCTCTGCGGGTACCGAGGTCAGGGAGGAAGGAGGGGAGGAGGAGCGGGGGAGGAGGGGATGCCCCCGCAGCCCGCGGTGAGGTGGCAGGCTGTCCCCCCCCAGCCCATGGAGGGGAGCTGGGAGCGGAGGCCCCCCAAGATGGCCGCCACTCCATGGGGAAGCCCGCGCTGGAGCAGGCTGGGACTGAAGGACTGCAGCCTGTGGGAGACCCCCTGTGGCGGAGCAGGGCCCGAGTGCGGAGTCCTCCTCCCCTGAGGAGGAAGGAGCGGCAGAGACAAGGGGTGAGGAACCGACCCCAGCCCCCATTGCCGGGGGGAGGAGGGAGAGAGAACCGGGAGGGGGGTTGAGCCGGGCAGGAGGGGGGGATGGCGGGAAGGGGTTCTGAGGTTGGTTTTACTTCTCATTATCCTACTCTGTTTTGATTGGCAGTATATTATATTGATAGTGCTTTTTCCCCTGCTTGAGTCTGTCTTTTGCCCATGACCATAATTGCTGAGTGATCCCTCCCAGTCCTTGTCTTGACCCACGAGCTTTTCTTTATATTTTCTCCTCCTCATCCCACTGGGGCCAGAGGGGAAGAGTGAGCAAGTGGCTTCGTGGCACTTTGTTGCCGGCTGGGCTGAAACCACGACAGAAGCCAACAAAAAATCCTCATGACCTACCCTTGCTGCTTAAATTCAGGCATGCAATTAATATAGTGTCTGTTTCCTGAAAAAAGACTGTATAATAAACTAGCACTTAATGCAATCTACCTGGGTAAATAGATTTACTTTGTAAGCTATCAGGCTGAAGATTATCTGGTTTTAATAGTCATTTTACAATCTATTAAAATACAGAGACAGCCCCAAATGATTGAAAGAATATTAAGTTCACACTATAAGTAAATGTGGAGAATGTTCCTTATTAGATTCTTTATGAGGTTTTAATTTTGTAGAATTGCATACCAGCATATCAGCCATATTTTTTTTGTAAAGAATAGTTGTTTCCATCCCACATCCTTCAATGATGAATTGCCTAGAGAAAAACATATGCACAGATTTCTTGGGATCAAGAAACTCTTAATGATGCGTCTGAAATTATTTGTTGGTTTAGATAATTATTATTGTTTTGGATCAGGTCTAAATAGCCAATGAACAATTTGCAAATATAGTCCCTTCCTTTCAGGCCTTGCTTACAGATGTCAAAGCGCTCTTGCATGATACCTAAGGTTACCCTGCCTCCTCCTCTGACTGTTCATTGTGCTGGTGTGTAGTAACAGACGCTTGGTTTCTCCATAGGCTTACCATCAATGCTGAGTGCCAGCTGCAGCTGCACAATTTCCCAATGGATGAACATTCATGTCCTCTGATATTCTCTAGCTGTAAGTACTGCTTTAATGCCTTATTGTTGTATAGACCTAGTATGCAGAGGTACGAGTTTAATTCTGATATCTGTCAGGTTGTTCAACACATATAGGAAGTTTAGGTTTGCTTAAATATTGAGGGAACTTTTGCTTTCCTCTCTAGCAGTCCTGGTCGATGGACTTATGCCATGAAGTCTTCCGCGAATTTACTCTGTTTTTTGCCAGAACCAGCCTTTTTAGTTGAAACTATAGTCACACTATCAGCAGAAGCAGATATTCATACCAGTCTGTGCTATGTTAATCTATACAATCACGTGACATGGAAATGAGAATAGAAATTACAGTTTTCTTTAGGAGGTGCACAGCTTGGGGACATGCCCAGCAATCTCTGAACATCTGAGTTTATAGCAAGTAGCATGGTAATGCCTCTCTGTTCCATAATAAAAGTAAATGGTGTAACTACTGTAAATGTAATTTTCCTTTTATTGCTCAGCTTGTCCAGTAGTCCCAATGTTGTATTGTATGTAGTGGTGTTGGTATATTTAAAACCTACCTAATAGGCAAAGCAAATACATTGGTGAAACAGATGGAAAACAAAAGTCAGGTGAGTTAATCTTGAGGTCCAACATTACTGTAATGAAAAGTTATCTTCATGCTGATTCATCTGAAAAAGCTTGAGAGCTCTCTGCTTATGGGTACACCTGCACAGTTTTGTAATCCAAAGTCACACAATGCAAATATTTTACAAACATTTTAAAACAGTCTCCACTAAAGATTTTTCTTTTGATAAACTCCAAGACCCGGGATCTGTGTTCCCCAAAAGCAAATGGGAAATGTATTGTTTTGTCTTTCTATTTAGAAAATAGCTTTTTCTCCATCAGCTCTTAAAAAGTGATAGAAGAATAACACTATTTAATGTCTTCATAATAGGTATGCTGTTGTAAAAGTAGTGTATTGATTTCCATTTGTGAATAGTATACAAGCAGTGATCCTCAATCAGAAACTAGATTTGAATTTCAGCTGATCCAGGGTGCATTCTTCTTTTTCCCCAGGAAAATGTTTTAAAATTCTGCCAGTGTAAACATCTCCTTTTCCCCCAAAACATTATTACTACATTGCCATTTTTTATGATCTATGTATATAAGTGAGCCTGGGCAAAAATACACAGTGGTGTGTTTAATTCAGATGTGTGGAATATATGCATACTCAACTGAACAAGAGGCAGATAGCTCCCGAATGAGCTTTCCTACTAATGAACACTTGTCACTGAACTATATGTACCTCAGCTATCTTTAGTTACTGCATAAAGCTACTCTTACCTCGTGGCAACCTGCCGTTGATTTGCTGAGGTACCTGGAAAGGAGTGTGTGATCTTAAAAATTAATTCCCAGTCCAGAGATGCTAATTAAACCTACCACATAAATTTGATAGGTCCTGCGCTAGCAATAACCAAAGAAGGTGAACTCTAATAAACAGGGAAGTCGCTTCAAACCTTGCATTCCCTAAGTGCTAGGCAGTTGCTGAGTGCAAGTAAGTTATGCTCTGTGTTTTTTGTTTAAAGAGAGAGGATATCAGCAGGAACTTCAGAAGGCTCCACTCTATGGCAAAGTTTCAAATACATCTTGATTTACAGAGGTTCCTCCTAATTTAGATCTATTAGCTCAGAGCCCTTCTGCCCTTGAAAACACATGTATTACCATTGTACATGTACTAGCATCTATGGAGATGGAGATTACATGGGATCAAGCAGAAGCTGAATGTGTCACAGTTTCTATGTGCGTTCTTTGTAGTTTCTTGCCAGATGGAAAAACCAATGGAGGAATATTCAAGTAATGTTTTATAGTTTTGTCAACCTTTTTGGTCATATTGATAACAAGGGTTTATTTCTTTAGGTTCATACTGAATTGTGTTCTTTTCCTTTAACACTTTTAGCACTACTATTATCATAATAGTAGGACGTCTCCTGTGTGATTTGTTTGTTTCATAACTTGGTTGTATTTTCAGTGTTGCGTACATTCATAGCAGTCCCAAGATACATGCCACTCAGTGGGACTTATGAAGTGAATGACTGAGTGAATGCCTGAATGATTTATTGCTGCCTGTTATGACAAGTTTCTGAGGGGACAAGCTGATTACGGATTCCAAGATGTATGTCTTTGAATAAAATAAAAATGGTTGTAGAATTCAGAGCACAGCTCCATTTCCCCCTGCATCCCTTTCATTTGTTCCCCAGCACACAGACAAATTTTTGCAGTTTCCACTGTAGGCAAGCACAAAAAAGCACAAGTTTTGGAGAATATTCCCTGCATCTCTATACACACATGAACAAGGTTAATATTTTAAATTTCTTACTTTTTACATAAATTTCCCCTGATGCATCAGAAATGTGAAACTAATCTCAAATTGTTTCTGCAGTATTTTCCTCTAGTGTGAAACTAATTCACACCCTAACCCGGTTGTTGCTTTGGGGACAGTTGATGCTCCTTTGGTGGGAGTACTCAGCTCTACTTGGTCTGGTTGCCAGAATGAATAAGGAGAAAAGAGCAGCTTAGAAATGAGAGACCATCTCAGTAAGCTAACAGTGGTTAGTAAAACCTTCCTACACCTTCCTGTGGAAAATCTTGTTCAAGAACAGTTCCTGAAGCTCTCTAGTCTCTTTTATAGGAATTAGAAAGTATTGAAATAATTTGAAAGCTCTTTACTCTCTGTGCAAGTTTTGTATGTGCTTCAGGTGACGTGATGAGATGAATCATCTGGCATATTAGGGCATGTGGTAGGCGTGTGTCTTGTTGCTGTCCTTGCATAGATGTGTGCTTAGCACACTCCTTCTGTGGAAAGTTGAGCCCAATGGCATAATGCAGGGTTGCTGTGCAACGTGACAGCTCTTTCCCAGTCTATGTACCACATTGGTTTGATCAACCACATGTGGCAAGCAGGATTCCTTAATACAGAGATGCTACAACATTCGCATCAATGCCAGTGCATGGTATGAATGTGTGTTTCCCCGTGAATGTGAAGAAAGAATCAATGCTGTGACTTGATCCCACTGTATCAATCTTTGATAGATTTTGCTCTATATGATCACATTGTCTTCATATGGTTTTGAAGTACTATATACTACTGCATAAAAATATTGTGTTAGTGTGGTTCTTCATGTAGGTTAATTTATCGTCCTGAGCCAAGGGAGGCTCCTGAGAGGAGGTATTCTGTCCGAAGGACAATGTCAGCACAAGAATATACAAATAAGACACAGACAGCAAAATGCAGGCTGGAAATAAGAAGTAAAGCAAAATTAATCATGGAACTCCCACCATAGGATACTGTGGGTGCTAAAATTTTATAAGGATTCAAAAGTGTTTGGACAAATCATTTAAAGAAAAATGCATTGGGAGCTTTTAAGCATAATAAGATCACTCTGTACTAATGGTCACCATTTTTTTTTATTCTGAGGGAGTAAGAGCATTTCAGATTAAACAGTAGGCAAAAGTGGCTGTATGGCTAAGCTACTTGCAGGAACTATTTTCTGTTACAGTCATCACATGACTGGTCTCCAGCTGGCCTACATGGTTTTGGTTTTCCTTTGTCAGCCACTGCTGGAACTGTTGAATATTCTGGATTTTCTGAATTTGGGAGGACTAGGCACACTGCAGAATAACGTAAGCATGTTTGCACCCACACCTGCACAACAGTTAATTGTTTGAGGTGTTCATTTTTTTCAGCCCAGAACAGACCTTCACCTCCTCTCCCCATCCACATGCTCAAGATTAACTTAAATTCATGACACTCCTTCAGGTGACAGCATACGACAGCCATACCAAAATGAAGGTGACAAACCCATTACACCCAGTTGAAACAATCAGGTCAACTAACTTTTTAATTATGTACAAGGAGCTTTATGGTGGGAAACTGTGCTAGCTGCATATCTGAGGTCTGAAACAATCTGTAAGGCCGTGCTTCAGGCTTTATCAGATGCTGTAATATTGAGCTGCAGTGCAAAATGCCAGAATAACAATAATAAGACTGAATTGATTAATGGGTTTTCATTGCTTTATTTTTCTTGCTGCTGTTCTGATCAAACTGCAGACACTGTTGTTCATTTTAAAAAGCACCTTAGATTTAGGCAATAGAAATGATAACATTTTTTGTAGCCAATTACTTATCTTTTCCCTAGTGAGAAAGTCTACAGTGTCCTGAGTTGCCCCATACTGGAGGATTGCTGCAAGGCAGGAAAAGGTGGGCATGCCTGGAATGCTATTCCTACTGCAAACACTAAAATATACACACAAAAGTTCACAAACAATTCAAGTGTTTTCAGTTCAGTGGAAAATAGGGGAAAGCAAAATTTCCAGCTCTTGATGGTCCAGTTTGCTCAGTCGGGTCTTAAAACATGTACTTTTAGCCTTGTAAAAGTTCAAGTTCTTTTTTTGTTTTTTTAAGTGATGTATAAAAGCATGCAAAGTATTGCAGAAAAAAGTAAGGCAATGTGAAATGCATTTTAAAGAAATTCATCCAAATCTAACATAGTGTTTGAAAGAAACAGATCCTGTCTTTCTAAATATAAACTCAGTTCAATCAAATGTTACCCCTTTGAACATGAAACCTCTTATGGATATGCAATCAGTACTTTGAGCCTATCATTAATTTTCTAACAGAACTAGCTGTCATCGCCAATTTTAATATGTTTCTCCTAGCCTGGAAATGTAAATGCTGGTTTTGTGGAATGAGCTGTGCTTTGTTTCAACTCATGTATCATGAGCAGAATCATTAATAAAGCCTGAGGGCAGAATTTTACTCCTGATGAAGAACAGGCCAGAAGGAACACAGCTTAATGTTCATATATCTCAAGAGGAGTTTCATTAAAGATGCTGGGAAGGCATTGCAATGTGCAGAAAAAGCTTTAATCCACACCTAAACTTCCCATCCATGCTCTCTGTAATGGGCTGAACCAGATCATGGGGCATCAATGGAATTCTTGATCCAGGTTTTGTGATGAGCATATTTTATCTATTGTAGCTTTT